TTACCTTCTATTCTCTTTTTATTTCCTTGTCCCTTCTTTCCTTTCCCCCTCACCACTCCCTTGTTCTTCTCATTTGAGTATCTCTTCTCATTTCCCAACATCCATTATACATTTTGGGCCTTATTTCCACTTTCGGTTTCTCACACCAGATAAGCAATGTGGTATTTAAAACGTGACACTTTTTATCAGGGATTTAAGATTCAATTTTAAGTTCAACAAGGCGAATGATATGCAACACCTCAGTCAGAGGAGGACTCGTCAATTTCCACAGGAAAGTCTCCCCACAGGACAGCACTGCCAGGAGATCTGAGGTAGGAGCACTTCTGCCAGCGTGGCAACTCACTCCCCTAAAGCAGTCTTAGAGTTGGGGAACTGGCTGGGAAACCAGTCCCTGACTTAAGGACAAATATTACACACTCTAAATTCCCACCCAGGGCTACTGGACTGTAGATGGTCTGGCACCCAGTTATTGGTTAAGTTCTCACCTTTTCTGCAGTTTGATCACTGGCCTTTTCATTCTCCTTAGCTCCCTGTCCAACTTGAGCCTGGCAGTTTCTCTCTTCCAGAAGTTAACTTTTCATCTTCAATAAAATAATTCCAACATCCAGTTTGGCTTTAACCCCTGTTCTCAGTCTCACACTTCAGTATCTCCTGACATCACCTACCTCAGGGCCTTTTCATTCCTTCTAGTTAGAAAATCATTTCACCTGAAAGTGCCAGTTAAATTTTTATCCATATTTCAAAGGCCAATTCGGTAGCTAACTCAACCTCTTGAAGGTTTCTGAAGAAATGCTTTCTCAACCTTCTGTCTCTTCAAGATTGTACCCTGTAACTCTTTCTGTACCAACTATTCTACTTTGAATTTGGCTTTATATACGATACATTATATATAAATACATATATCTTTATTTTCTGCCCTAAATGAAAGCTCAAAAAGGCAAGGAACACATCTTGCTCATCTCTGTATACCTCAGATTGCTAAACTAATCTATCTCACAGGTTCAGCTCCTGCAGTCCTAGGCTCAAGTTCTCATATTAGTTTTGTCCCTGGTTGGTTACTTAAATCAATCAATCAATCACTATAAAAGTCATAAGGATATCCTTGATGCAAACAATCTTGGAGATTTCAAGCTGCCTATCTCCTAGAAGTGGTGCAGCACATTCTACAATGATCTCTTTTCTCTATAGGAAATCTCAGGATTCTTTCTCCAAGTTACATATTTGGGAAATGCCAAAATAAATTATAATAGTCTTTAATATTTGCATCTACACAGATTTGAAAAGCTTGAGCTTATTAATTATAGCTTGACCTTATTAATTAAAGAAGAGTAGGAATATTTTTTTACCCTCAAGACCAAGGGAAACATTTTTAAAAACAAGTACCATTTGTTAAGTTTTCATATGCTTTGGCCTGTTTCACACTGGTAACACTCAATTTCAACCCTTTATTACGCTTCTTTCATATGACTTTTTGAAGCAAATAGTCTTAGGCTATATTATAACTAGGTTATTCAAATATTTAAATGTTTTTATATTTTAAGCTTCACTGGAAATGTTTTAATATTTCTTTTGTTGAATGATGTTACACAATTATTCTTAACTAAATTGTGGGTAAGTTTAAAACTGCATAAATTCAGAACTGGCATTTCCATTTCAAAAGCAAAGAGGCACTCAACCATGTTAACCCTGTTAAAATAAGTGCATATTATGCACATGATTATGTTGTTTACTGTCATGACCGAGAACAGTTTCAAACACTGGTGGTTTATATTAATGTGTAGCTTTTTAAAAAAACTGTATTCTAATAATTCATGTACATGTCTTTAAGGGACAAACATAATTATGAAAAATTATCAAGAGTTCACTGCTCTGTTACCAGTGCTCTAAATGGCATCTGCAGATTTTCATCCATTAATACAGTATTGAGGACCACGGATTTAGCTCAGCGGTTCTGGCACCTGCCTCGAAAGCACAAGGTCCTGAGTTCAATCCCCAGTACCAAAAAAAAAAAATTACAGTATTGAGTTCAGCAGTTCTGAACTCTGAAATATTGCTTTTAGAAAAATCAAAATAAAAAAAATAACATCCATGATAACTACTTTTAGTGACTCTCTCAATAACATACTAACCACCTACCCTATGCTAGGCAATTTTCTGCTAATGATATCATAGTAAGCAAAAGCAATGGGAGGGATGGAGGGGTTGAAGGGAGGGCTGGGCAAGGGTGAAAAATAAGAACCAAGAGAGACTATGTAAAGGTGCAAACTTCCAATGATGAATGTCATTATATTGTGTACCTAAAATGTACCAATGATTAGAATGAATAATCGATAATGCAAAATAGGAAGAAAAGGTCCAAAGGGGTAGGGGTAGTGGGAGAGGCAGGGGAAAGGAAAGAAGGGAAAGGCAAAATGATGAGAAATGGAAAAAATGGAAATAAAGTCTTTGTAAATAGGGAAGGGTGGAGAGCGTGAAGGGAGGGCTAGGAATGGGGAAAAAATAAGAACCAGATGCATTATGTAAAGGTACAATTCCCAATGAGAAATGTAATTGTGTTGTATACCTAAAATATACCAATAAAAGAAAAAAAAAAAAAAGCAATGTAGACAACTGTCCCTATGAGCTTACATAAAATAAATAAATATCTTCCAGCATACGAGGCTTCATGAAGAAAATAAAGGAATCAAAGGGTAAGAGGGAACAAGGACAGTTGCAATGTTAAATTTTTTTCTGCTTAAAAATAAAGCAAGAACTTGAGAAAGATGAGGTCCAAACCATACTTTCTGGGAGAATTTCAGGTAAAAAGAAGAGAAAGAGCAGAGGTCCCCAAATAGGATCCTTGTTTTTATTACTTTCATATTTAAGGAAATAATAGAAAGTAATTTCTCTATTTTGTGATCGGATTGTATTTTTCTATCAAGGGAGCACAGGAAATGGAGTACACCAGTTATGAGATTTTAGCCAACTGTATAATCTGGTTTATGCTTTTATGGGCCATGGGCCAAATCTGGCCCACCACATAGTTTATAAATAAAGTTTTATTGGAACACTGCATCATCCATTGGTTTATATATTTTGGCTACACTGAACAGTTGCATAAGAAAGCATTATGAAGGTTTAAATATTCACTATTTGACCCTTTACAGAAAATCTCTGATGGTACCTATTGTATGGAATTCACATGCCATCTCAGTCTGGAATCCCTGCACCACTCTTGTGATGAGGAGTTAAAGCTTCTGAACAAGGAATGGACAGGCATCACTTTGTCTAATTAAGGAGCATTTTACACACCCCTAAAATACCCTATTGAGTCCAATGGGAAAGAACAAATCTCATATTTGACTTAGAATCTAATAAATACATACTTTATGGCCAGCTACGTGTGTTTCTTTAAGTCACAGCAATACAGTCATGTAAAAGTGTCTTCAAAGTTTTGGTAGAAAAAAATCCTTTGTTACTAGGCTATCTACATTCATACTTCTACCCAAGAGAAAATTTTTAAGCTAAAAATCATCAATGTCTTCCCTTAAAACATAAAAAAATATAAATTTAAAGACCTTCTATCATCTAACATAAGGCAGGTTCAGAAAGAAAAGGTAGATAATCAAATTCTGATAAAAAGAGAAGAAAAATATCTAATTGTTCCAAAGGTGGCCAAAACTGGTCAAGCCACATCAATGTCTCTCTACGTAACAACCCGTTAAGTACAACACACCACCAAAGACCACCCAGGATATGCCAGCTGCTTTGTTTTTGAGAAAAGGTCTCACTACGTAGTAAAGAGTAGCCTTAAACTTGCTATGTAGCTTAGGCTGGCCTCAGGATCCTCCTGCCTCAGTCTCCCAAGTGCTGAGATTATAAGCACGCACCATGTCTAGACTTGTTTTTGCTTTTTAAAGAAATGTAATTCCAACTGGGCTTAGAGGTGCACACCTGTAATCTCAGCACTCTGGGAGGCTGAGTCAGGGAGATCACAAGTTTGAGCTCTTAAGACTGGGGCAATTTAGCAAGACCTTGTCTCGAAATAAAAAAACAGCTGGAAATGTAGCTTAGTACAAAGGCCTAGGATGCAATCCCTGATCCCAAAACAAAACAGAGAAAATGAAAATTAATTCCTGTTCCTACCAGTCATCACAAACTTCTTTTATTCTTATTTTTCCTAGTAAAACTATTTTAAATCGAACCAAGACTGTGTAGAAATGAAGTATATTTTCAGAAGAACAGTACAGAAAGCCAGCATATTACAGAAACTCACAGCATTAGCTAAACACAAGAGGTTTAATCCAAAATAATTAAATAATTTATGAGAAACATTTCAAATTAATATTTCCCCCCCAAAAAAACCAAATATCAGGATGCCAGAAAACAATTCTAATTTTTTTAAAAAAATCCTCTCCAAAGATTGCTCAGTATTCTAAAATGCTTATAAGACAGAAGTTTCTTTATAAACATCTGAAATGCTATATCTGTTTTAAAGTGTAATATTCGTGCAACTCTGATTTTCTGAGCAACATACAAGAATCAGAACAATATATCAATAACAGAGAAGACTTAAATCTAACAATGATGTCCTTTTCCCTAAGTACAATAAGCCCTGTATTCTCAAACAGAACACTGTTATGATATGAGCAAAATCCAAACAGTGTGGGCCGAGTAATACTAACTCAGTCTGTGTTGTTTTTCTTTGCTACAAAGTGGGACATAGGAGAGTGTATTTTGATGTGGAGTGAGAAACTAACATTAAGCATCTAGGTGTGTGGGTGTGACCTTAGGCTCCAAATTGTTATTCAGAACCTTGACGCCAGGCTGCACTGCACTGACCCCTAATGTCTCAAGAGTACATCTGTAAAAGTACACTGCAAATCCCAAACAACTGTATGAGTTATGGAGAGTACAGAGAAGAGTAGGAAGACCACGCCAGTTTAGAAATGAATAAACTTGAATTATCAGCACATGCTACTTATGAAATAAAACAAATGAATAAATGAATACATACATACCCTTGAGGAGAGAGCTTGTCCAACCATCCTGATTTAACCTTTACTGTAGAAGATCCATAAAAACAGGCATAAGGAGAGATGGCATTTGAGGAAACAGCTGATGAGTCCGCATTCCCACTTGTTGAACTTAAAGGATAACTGTGCCTATTAACAGGGTCCAAATTTAATGCTTTTTGAGTTCTAGATTTAGGTGCTTTTAAATTTTTTCTTCTTAAACTCTGAAAGCATTCTTCTACTGTTGAGTATTCTGATTCAGAAGCAGAGTCTTGTAAGAGATTGTTTTTGTCTTCTCGAGGTATCCAAATGTCCTCTAATTTGTCTTCACTTATTTTCTCTTTTCTATTATCATATATGCTAAGTGGAAAGAAATAGTATTAAAATTTTGAAGTGCGATATGTGATTTAACCTATCAGTTAATTTTTTTAACTTATAAACAACAAATCAGTGAAATTTAAGGCCAGGAAAATCTTCAAATTCAGTTACTCCATCTGATAATTTACAAAGCTTTTTCAGAAAAATGAAGTTGAAAACTTTTATTATCAAAAGAAATATTTAAACACTACTAGAAATACTTTCTCATGTATAATGTTATCTGATTCCTTTTGTTTTAGAAAGTTGGATATAAGATGGATAGAATACAGGTGGCCATATTCTTTGCATCTCAATTTAAACCTCAACAACCATAGAATTAAGTGGTCAGTACAACCTCTACTCTCTGGGAAACATCATGAATCACTAACTCCATCTGTTTAGAGATCTTATTTCCAACTTGTTATAGCCTTTCTACTTAGCTTTAGTGCAAGGACCACATGTTCTACCATAATGTAATAAAATACAAAGTACTTCTGACTAGTCAGAGCTTCATGATTATGTTGCAACCCTAATGAGAACAAACACTGCACCACCCTACTACCACAAAAAAGCAATTGTAAATTTTGAAGGTAAAAGCTGCATAAGGAAAAATACTGTATTACTAGAACACATTCACAATAGCTAAGCACATTCCTATACATTTAAGGAATGACACAACAGATTCTCTTAGCTATTTATGTAAAATAAAATTCACTGGAAGGACATTCTGCTAATCAATGAAATATATATAGCTAGGGGGCAAGATTACATATTTATGGATAGTGTTCTAAAAACTATTACTTCCTTAAAAGATATTTTAGCCTAATCCTTCCACATTTTGCTTTATATAGATTCATATTAAATGTCCAGGGAACATAGGGGTTAACTTAAAGAAACCCACAACAGTTTTACTCCTGATAAATGAAAGCTAAATAGAAAATAAAACAATCGGGTAGGGGATTTAGCTCAGTGTTCCTCCGCCTGCCTCGCAAGTGCAGGATTCCGAGTTCGATCCCCAGTACCAAAAAAAGGAAAGAATCATTAAATAATGATCCAGTATGTCAAATTCAAATAAAATTAAAAGAGATAAAAAAATTTAAGTGAGTGCCTTATAATTACTGTGTAACTTCTTGTGTGACTCAAGTAACTGGGTAATTATCAATCTTCTTGCAAATGATGAAACACTAATAGAAAGGTCATACTACATTTGGAAAATTTCACAACTCAGTGTTAACTCTGTCCCCTTCTCTCTATTATAATAACCTAACTTCCCATCTTTAAAGTGTAATCACAGTGACTACATATCTATCACTTTGGGCAGGGGCAAATGGTTGTTGTCAGGATAGGACAAAAAAAATCTACTACAGAATATCTCTACACATTCAATTTACAGACTATAATTTAGCTATTAAAGTGGGTTGTGTCATGGAGACATTTAGAAAGGAAAGCTATGAATTACCTATATAAACTATTTCCTCAGAAATACAATATTATATTAATTCTAAAAAAATTCATCATCATCAGTCAGGACTTCATACCTTGATTTGATTGAAAAAGAGTTCATTGAAGTACTTGCTTCCCCTTTGAGTTGTTCTTCATGGGTCCAAAATTCATTCTTTATGGACCTCTTCTATAAAATAAATATATACATATACACACACTTATTTTTTGCTTTATGGTTTGGGGATTTTTTTTTGGAAGAGCAACACTTTACAATATTCCCTAATACATATCTGAATTTAATTAAATAAACGACTAACTGCGTGATTGATTTTTGAGTAAAAAATAACTTAGATTAATAACTTCTGATACATTTTTCATTTTTATTTCAATCACTAGCTAATCAATTTAGAATAAAATGTTAACTAATAACAAAATTTGTGTACTTCTGTTCCTCTGCTATACTTTTTATATTTTAACAAGACCAAGAAATAAAACAGAAAAGGGTACAAGCATTGGCAAATAAAGCCTAAGTGATAAACTGAATAATTAAAATATATAAACAATCAGATGTCTGCAAACTTAAGACAAATGCATTTGGATATAAATCAAAGCAAAATCTGAGAGTATGAGGTTTCTTTTTACTTTTTTTTGTAAGGCAGTTCTATCTTTTAGCAAATTTTAAAAACCCAATATCCTTTATTCCTAAACTCAAAATGAAAATATGTTTTTAAGATAGAAATCGAAAGATACAGGTTTACCATAGTTTTACTGAACAGAAATTTTATTGTCTGGAAATTTCCTTTTTTGATGTAATGCATTCTTCAAACAGGTTGTAGCAAAATGAAAAGGTATATATAGGCAGCAGTAATAACTGATTACAGAAAAAAAATATATGAGACTAACCTTGGAATTTTCTAGTCTCTGGAAGAGAAAGGTCTCTCCATAAGGAAAGATGGAAGATGAATTCTCCTCGTTTGAATCTTTTGAGGGAATTACGGGATGAGAATGGAAAAAGGAATAATATGAAATTGTTCAAAAAAAAAAAAACGAAGGCATGTTTTCAATTTTTTATAGCAACTAACAACTTAAGATTTATTTTGTGAGAGTCAAAAATGCTCATAATTCTTAGCCCCTAAAGTTCCTCAACTCATGGTATTCTTAACACAATTCACTTTAACCCACTCACTTCATAACCACGACACATTATTAAGTTGTAACCTGTCACACATATGTATCCCTGCTAACCTTTAAGATTCACATTAATATAACCAACTTTGCCTGTACAGAACAGAAATTGCCATGGTGTCATTTGTAGTGGTAATTTCTTTCTTTTTTGGTACCAGGGATTGAACTCAGGCCCCTCAGGACCTTGCACTTGCAAGGCAGGTGGCGGAACCACTGAGCTAAATCCCTGGCCCTGTAGTGGTAATTTCTAAATACGAAAATAGTCTAAAAGGATCTTAATTCTATGATAATGTTCAATGAACAGTTATAAACAGTTCAGTAACATAACAGCTAACCTATCACTCCAATTGTCAAGAAGAATGTTCCTGAACTTGCATAAGCAGAATCTTCAAAAAGAAAGAAAAACCTCTCCCAGATCTATTTACCAGAGCAACAATGTCAACCTTTTCCTGTTACCATGGCAAAACCACTTCCCAGATTATCTTTGCCCTGTAACTCAGACCACCAGAAAGCATTTAATTTAGATAAATGCCTTCCACTGTGGCTAATGACAAATGGAGCTGTATTAAAATTTTTTGTACATAAGCAGAAGCAAATTTCAAGAGTTTTTAGCATATAGTACTGTCCTTTATTCACTTGTCTTTAAAAGTATCTGAGTACTATGAACACCGCAGAATATTATTCCCATCCTTTCCTATAGCAATGGTGGGCTGCCTTTTCAATCCCAGTTTTAAAATACTTTTAAGACTATCAAATGACAGCTAACTAATTCACAGAAACTCAACACACAGACTCACTTGGCAGTGTCACAGATTTTCCAGTTGAGGTAGTAACAGTTCTCTCATGGAAGTAGCTTAAAGTAAAGGGGAAAAGTTATGAGTTATTATTTATTATTTAAGTAAAGGATGTATTCTAGAGATACATTCTTGTAAGAAGGGATACCAATATTCAAAAATAAGTCTGATTTGAAATAAACAGAATGGCCAAATTCCACCAATGTGTTTTTCCATACAGCCTTCAAGGAAGAGATTTCACTGGAATTTGTAAGTATTTGCTTCTCATATCTGTAATTTACAAAAGTAGATGAATGTATCTGTCCAATATTAGTATGCACATAATTTCAAAACTGTTACCCATGCCTCTAAGAGGAACAAATTTATTAACTACCTTGCCATATATTTCTATGGTTTTTTTCATTAGCTTCAAAAATACATCTGGTTCTGTGAACATAATTTGAAAATACATCCACTATCTTCTTTCAAAGATGTTACAGTCTTGGGTGAAAGACATTACAGGAAATTAATAAGAGTATAACTATAATAGCAATGACAAAGGTAAACACTGTAGGGGCAGACAGTAAGGAATACCTACTAATATATCAGTTCTATTTTTCTTCTATCTAAGGTGAAAGATCAGAACATCCCTAACTTCTCTTAGGTATATTTCTATCTCTCCAAGTAATAAGATTCTGAAAAATAACAAGAGTAGAAATCAATAAAATAAAATATGGACAAAACATAAAACTCATTATAACCAAAAGCCTGCTGCTCAAAAGATCAATAAAATTGGCTAACTTCAGTAAAGAAAATTAAAAGACAAGATAAAAATCACAAGTATCAGAAACAAAAGAGAGGACATCACTTCAAATCCTAAAATGGGAAATAATGGACCCGCGGTAGAGAAATGATAATCAATTAGTAAGAAAAACTTGGTCAAGAGAGTGAAAACAAAAATTGGATGACATGGGGCCAGGGATTTAGCTCAGTGGTTTCGACGCCTGCTGCGCAAGCGCAAGGACCCAAGTTCGATCCCCGGTACCAAAAACCCCCCCAAAAATTACAAAAAAAAATTGGATGACATGAACAAATAAATCTTTGAGACTCAATCAAATGTGACAATATTAAACAGAAAATCTTATTAGCCATGTTTCTCTTAGAGAAACTGAATTTTCTAATTAATCACCTACTCATAAAAAGCTCCAGGTATAAATAATTCGCTGGTGAATCCCGAGCAATAATTTAAAAAGGAGAAACATCTAGCCTATGCAAAGTTTTGTGGGAAGTAGGATGGAAGACACATTTCCTAATTAACTTCTATAAGGCCAATATCACTAATAACCAAATGAGGCAAAAACATAACTGTGGATAAATGTTCATGATAAACATATTAGCAAATAAAGTTACAAAAGGATAATGTAACTACAACAGATTTACCATAAGAAAGCAATGTTACCTTAACAATGGAAAAATTAATGTAAGTCATCATATTGTCAACATGAAGGATAAAAATAACCTGTGTATAGCTGGGCATGGTGGCACATGCCTGCAATCCCTGCACTCTGGGAGGCTGAGGCAGGAGTATGACAAATTCAAAGCTCAGTCTGGGCAGTTTAGCAACATGGAGAGACTTTGTTTCAAAATAATAATAAAAGAAGAGGGCTGGGGATGTAGCTCTGTGCAAAGGCCCTACAGCTAATCCCTAGTACTGAAAAATAACAACAACAAAACAATATGTTCATGACAGTGGATTCAGAAAAAAACTAACAAACTTCAACATCTTCAACATCCATTCAGGATAAAGATTCTTAACAAACTAAGAAGAGAAAGAAATTTCTTTAACTAATAAAGGGCAATCATGAGAGACCTTCATCATACCTAATATTTAAATACTAAGTGGTTTCCCCTAAGATTGAGAGCAAGGCAAAGAAACCTGCTTTCACCATTTGTGTTCACATGATTTCAGAGGTCCCAGCATAAGGCAATAAGTAAATGATATAAAAGGCCTGCAGACTGAAAAGGATGTACCTTGAAAAGACAAGGCAACTTGTAAGGAAAAAAAACCAAAAACTTAAGAATCTACCAAAATGCTTCTCAAACTAATTAGTAAATCTATCAAGGTCCCAGGATAAAGGGGAAATACAAATAAACTCGATATTTCTATTCTAGAAGCAATAAGCAACTGGAAAAAATAATTTCAAAATATAATTTTATTCAAAATGGCATACAAAGCATTAAATATAATTGATAAGTTCATTAAAATATGTTGAAGATCTACACCCTTAAAACTATAAGGAATTACTAAGAAAAATTAAATCTTAAATAATGAATAGATATATAATGTTAATGGACTGGAAAGGTCAATATTGCCAAGATACCCATTCTCAACATACTTATATATATAGATTGTACACAATTCTAAACATATTCCAGTAGTCTTTTTAAACAGAAATTAACAAAGTGACTCCAAACTTAACATTCAAATACAAATAACTAGAACAGTCAAAACAACTTTGAAGAGAACAAAAAAACTTGAACACAGACATAAATTCAATATTTAGTTTACAACTACAGTAATCAAATCAGTTTATTACTGATAAAAGGACAGACATATAAATCAATGTGATGAAGTGGACAGTCTACATGTAGCAAAAACTACCCAGTTCTAAAAACAAACAAAAAACTACTTTAAAAAAGCAAATTAACAATACACATAAAAATATGAGTGAATTTCAAAATCATCACGTTGAAAAGAAGCCACATCCTATATCATTTTTTAGAAGCATGTGAAAAGGATGGATATTAAAGACACTATGAAACTCTCAGATGTTGTGGAATTGCCATTTCTTGATTGTGACAAATTTTATGGGCTTATACATCTTTTATAACTTATGAAGATACATTTTAAAATTTATAGTTTATTGAATATATGTTAAACTTCAAATCACTTAAAATGAATATAACATTTACTGCTCATAGGGTTAACATATAAAATATCAACTCCATTTCTAAATATAAAGAAAGAAAATAAAACCTTAGAAGTGATGTCATATATTAAAGCATCAAAATATTACCAGAAGGAATAAATCTAAGAAAAAAATTGCAAGAGCTCACCTAGAAAACTACAAAATATTACTGGAACAGAAATTCTAATTAAATAGAGGACTATGCCAAAGTCTGAATAATACAAAAGTGACAAAACTCCCTATATAAATCTCTAAGATGTACTGCAATCCCAAGCCAAATAATTAAAGAGTGTGCATGCATGCATATGTGTGTAATCTAACAAGTTGATTCTAAAATACATATGAGAAACAAAGGACCAAGGTTAACAAAGACATTTGTAGAAAACAGTGGAAGATGTACTCTATAAGATATTAGGATTTATTATAAAGCTATAGTAGTTAAGATTATTATATTACTGATTAAAGAATAGATAATAGACTACTGAAGTAAAATAAAGAGCTCATAAAGACATTCAGTTGTCACTTAAGAAAAAATGTCACTCTATAGCAATGAGTAAACTATGGTCTTTCTAATGTATCACTTGTATGTCTATATGGAAGAAAACGAAATTTTACTTCTACCTCACCATACACAGAAATCAACACAACACAGATTATAAAACCCAATGTAAACAGCCAATCAAAAAAGCTAGAAGATATATTTTCATGACTCTAAAGGCTAAAACAGTTTTAACCTTAGCAAAAAAAAATAGTAAATTTGACTAAATTATTAAAATTAAGAACTTTTATTGATTAAAAACTCACCACTAAGGAACACAGCAATGTAAAGCCAGGAAGAAGACTTACTGGTCAAAGGTTCAAATTTACAGTGTATAAATAACTTAAAAATCATAATCAAAGACAAAAAATGGAATTCAAAACCACCACCAAAAAGAAACCAAATGGTGAAAGATTTGAAAAGGCATCATACTAACGAAGATGAAAACATGACCAGTGGCCAAACTACACATTAAAAGATATTCAATTACATTAGTCATTAAAAAATACAAATTAAAACCACAATGAAATACCATTACATAATGTACCTACATGGCTACAATCTTTAAATAATCAAATGCTGTTCAGTGTATGAAACAAGAGAAATATACATGCACTGCTGGTGTTAAATTAGTACAACTGCTTTATAAGAACCAGTCTGCACTATATACAAAAGTAAAAGATACATAACTTCTATGACAATCTAACTTTTTGGTATATACATGCCAGATATGTTTGTACAAAAATAGCTGCCCAAATGTATGTCAAAAAGTAAATGGATAAACAAGACATAGGAGCTTCACAAAAAACCACCACTATTCAACAATTAAAAAAACAATTAACATTCGATCTCTGGTACAAAAAAAAACCAAAAAACAATTAACATTCAAAACCATGAGTTCCTTTCAAAATCATGTTAGAAAAGATGTCTACTATAAATGACTGCTACCAGATTCCATTTGTAATAACTTACAGAATAGGCAAAAATAATTTATAGTGAGTTCAATGATTGCTTGGTTCAAGCATTAGGGAAATTTACTGCAAAAGGTCACAAGAAAATTTGTTTGGAGTGGTGACTGATGGGAATGTTCTCTATACCTTGACTTTGGTAGTGGTTATGTGAGTATACGTATTTGTCAAAACCCAACAATTAAATATTTAAATTCAATCTATTTTATTACTGTAAATTATATCTAAATAGTTTATTTCATGTCTATAAATATATATATAAATAAATAAATGTACATGTAAAATAATAAACAATATTGGAAATAGGAATTATCAACCAACAGTAAGAATAGATACCCTGGTATTTTTATACAATAAAATATAACTGCAAAAATAACAAACTATAGGCAACAACATGAAAGTGTCAAAGCAAATGAGATGAACTAAAAGAATACTAGTATAATTACATTTTTTATGTTACCAAAACAGCCAAACTATACTATGTGGAATATGTACTTAACAGGTAAAACTATTTAAAAGCAAAAAAATTATATAAATTTTTTAAATGGCCATTTAAAGTCAAGATAGACCTCAGATAAAAGGGAAGGGCACATTTTAAACAAAAG